GGAGAGCTTTCGGAACCATTTGGCCCTTAATTACCCCCGGTAGATTGGTAGCGGTTACTAATTGATTTCCCTGGCAGATCACCCGGAAATTCTCCATTGATTATCCTTCTGTATAGGGGAGGGTCATTCTTCTCGCGGGGTGGGGGGGGGGGGGTTGTTTGGCCAGAGGGAAGCTGATAGTAAAAACAAAATCGATATCGGATGCACACATCCACACATCTCATCTCAGTCCCCTCTAAAGCACACCCTCCACGTGGACTACCAGCGAGAAGGCTACCTAGGTACGAGTACTATGGGAATTTTTCCAGGTTTAATCAGGAATCCCGCGTTGAAGAGATGCGGGCATCGAGAGATCCTTCCAACAAATCTTGTTGTTTGTGTGTTGAATGGTTTGCCGCGGTTGGGATTGAAGGCCCACCGTTGTGGCTCCGGTGCTGGCCAGCCAATCACCGACGGATATGGCCCCCTCGCTCCCTGTGTCTTTCCTTATATAAAGCAATAAGTACGGAAAGTTTCGCGGGATTGCGTTCGTGGGATCCTTCCACGGCTGGAGTTTCTGACATCCCGCCAGCGAGATTTACCATACAGCTTAACTTACCCGTTAACTATATACTATATACTATATACTATATACTATACTACCCAGCTCACGAGTTCATCGAATCATTATAAGCTCCCCCACACAACCCCCTACCCCGCACTCACTCTGGTCACTCGGACCCGCCCCACGCGCAGTTTTCCCATGAGTCACGGCATTAAAACCAATCAATATATCTCTCCTCCTCATCCCTCGACAGGCATATTTCTCCATCAACTCCCTGAGAATAATAATAACAAAAGGGAGGAAAAGAGAAAAAAGGAAAATAAGGAAAAGAAATAGAGAGAGAGAGAGAGAGTGTGTGTGTGTGTGTGTGTGTGAGAGAGAGAGTAGATATCCGAGAACCGAAGCCAACCATGCCTCCTCCCCCCGCTGCAGTTGACGCTCATGCGCTGAACAATGGAGCTCCCGCCGCGCCATTGACCGTCGAGGGCGTCCCCGCTCAGCGAGCGAAGACTCAGATGCCTACCGGCGTCGCTGCCTTTTCCAGTAGTGATATGTTCAAGAGTTCTGTAAGTTCACACAAGTTATTGCCGTAAAGGATGTGGTTATTCCCCCAGTGGAGATGGGATGGGAGATTTGAAGTTGGATCGGTGATTCGGACAGGGTTATCTAGATGGAGCTTGCGGAAGGGAAAAGAGAGAGCGAGAGAGGAGAGAGAACTGAAAGGAATTCGAAATTTGCTAATTTTTGCGGGGAACCTTTTTCATAGGCCTGCTTCGGTAAACCGAAAGCGAAGCGCTTCGATCGTGAGTTTGTACTCCAAGGTCTGCCGGATTCCATGTGTACATTGCATTAACAAAGGTGGTTTGCTTTCTGCTTTCCGTAGACCTTCTATCCACTGAAAGCAAAGGCAGACAGGTAAGCCTGGAACGAAGTACCCCATTGCTGTCTGCTCTGCTGCTGTGACAGAATGAATAATGGCCTGCATACATCGGTTGACGTGAAATCCTCATGCGCAGGCCTCGTCGCTGAAACAAGCTGCCCAATACCTAAAGACTCCAGGTTTGCCTATTGAAATAGAGCGCGCCCTTTTTTTTTTTTTTTTTTTTTTTTTTTTTCTCCCGCGGCTAGATGAAAAAATGTATCTAATATCTCGCTCCAGGCCTTATTTCATTGGGGGGAGGCCTCCCATCATGCGAATACTTCCCCTTCGAATCCATCTCCATGAAAGTTCCGACCCCGCCACATTTCTCAGAGAAGGATACGGTGAAATCAGGAAAGGTTGTCACTGCTGGGAAATACGATATAAGGAATGGAAAGAGCGAATATGGTTTGTTTGTTCTCTTTTTTCGCTCCTTCGCTCCTATATTATAATTCTGGTCTATTTATATTTGTACGGTGATGGTGTACTCAAACTAACCTTTGGTTTTTTTTACCTCTCCTTTTGTAGATTTGGAGATCGCTCTGAACTATGGCCAGTCGCATGGAGCAGCGCAGCTGTTGCGGTTTGTGACCGAGCATACTGAGGTAGGCAAAATGCGTTAGACCCACGAACGGAAATCGGTACAACGCCAAAAACTAAATAAAAACAAAAACAAAAAAAAAAATATTCAATGACAGATCGTCCATAACCCTCCGTACGCCGACTGGCACTGCTGTCTAACCGCGGGAAGCACCTCAGCTTGGGACATGGCATTGCGCATGTTCTGTGAGCGGGGGGACTACATCATCACGGAGGAGTACACATTCGCCACAGCCCTCGAGGCAGCAGCACCGTTGGGTATCCACGCGGCGGCCGCCAAGATGGATGATCAAGGCCTCCTCCCCGAATCTCTCGACGAGCTGATGAGCAACTGGGATGCGGATGCCCGGGGCGCACGCAAGCCCCACCTGCTCTACATCGTGCCATCAGGCCAGAACCCGACCGGCTCGACCCACGGCGCCGAGCGGAGAAGGGAGATCTACAGGGTGGCGCAGAAACATGATATCTACATCGTCGAGGACGAGCCGTACTATTTCCTTCAAATGCAGCCGTATAAGGGCGCGGGGACCCCGCCCGATCCGCCCCCAGCGTCCCATGAAGAATTCTTGAAGTCCTTGATCCCGTCTTATGTGAGCATGGATGTGGACGGGCGCGTGCTGCGGCTGGAATCGTTCTCCAAGGTCATCTCTCCTGGATCCAGGACGGGCTGGATCGTCGGCTCCGAACAGATTATCGATCGCTATAGTCGGCATTCCGAAGTAAGCACCCAGAACCCGAGTGGCATGGCGCAGATGATCCTCTTCAAGCTGCTGGATGAGAGCTGGGGCCACAAGGGGTATTTGGAGTGGTTGGTAAATATTCGCATGGCGTACACGGCGCGGAGGAATAGTATGATGGAAGCGTGCGAAAAGTATCTTCCGAAAACCGTGGCTAGTTGGAATCCCCCCGCTGCGGGGATGTTTGTAAGTTTACAAGCTGCCACAGAGTCTTTGTTTTAAAAGCCCCATCCCCCCCCACTTTTTTTTAAAGTGTAGCTGGCTAAAATATGCTTCCCTCCTCTCGTTCCATAGCACTGGATTAAGGTGGACTGGCATAAGCACCCAGGCGTCCGCGAAGGCAAAGACCACGCCGCCATCGAGCAATCCATCTTCAAGGCCGCTATCGCGGAAGGTGCGCTTGTCTCCTGCGGGAGCTGGTTTGTGGCAGATCGTTCCATCCCCGAGACGGACATGTTCTTCAGAGCCACATACGCTGCGGCCCCCGGCGACAAGATCGAAGAAGCCATTAGGCGGATTGGTGTTGCGTTGAGGGCTGAGTTTCAGTTGGAATAATGGAGAGATTTGTGTGCCCTATTCGTAATTGATTGGGAATTTATTTTCCTTTTCCTTCCCTTACCACGCTGCTATATATGGATGTATTTTGGATTCGTTTTGGGTTTTTGAAATATTCCAGCGCATCCTTATAGCTTATAAGTTATGCCGACGGTATGTTAACTGGATTTTTGTTGAGAGGAACGGCTAAATGGCTCCTCCTATCTATTCTTTGTAGAAACGAGTTTTTCCGGTTGCCTTAAAAGAAAATAATCATCTCTTTCCGGAGACTCCACCGTTCTCCAACCCATAGAAGCGTCGTGACCGTCACCATCAAATCGTAACTTATTTTCACTGCTGGGCCACAACGAGAAGGAAGAAACCATACATAGCACTATTTCAAAAACACGAAGCCAACCATCTAATTGTCTTCACTATCAGTTCCTCCTCCTCATCATAACCCTTCCCTCCCCCTCCCAACAAAAACTAGAAAATTAAAAACTAAAAATTAAAAAATATACGTTAGTTAAACCCCCCTTCACTCACAATTCAATTCACTTGACCTCCCCGCCCCTGCCCCTCCTTCTTAACCCGAACCGGTCACATCACGCATCACGCACCGTCCCGCCCTGCCCCGCCCAGCCCCTTCACCCTACCGCCAGCTCTGAGTTCTCAGCCCTTTTACCGTCGGAGTATCGATCTCATCGCGTTGATCTTGCCGGAAGAGCTCGGTCGAGCATTTTTTCTAAACATCTTCTTTGGTCATTGAAGTGGACAAGGGCATCTTGGTTCAAATTCAAATTAAAAATTATCCGTTGCGGGCGAATCGATACGGAATACTACTTGTGTAACTAACTATATTGCAGAACACATATCTCATTTGCTTGCCTTCCCCTTGCAGGCTCACAGGAATATTGGTTTAACAGAGCTCCCGGTTGGGGACGATGGTACTCTCCCCGTACTAGTTGCTTCTGATTTGCTTGTTGAAGACGATGATGATGATGATGTTTGAGGGGCCGGTACTAGCCGTGTCGGGGCAATTATCCCGGTCTTGGGGGTTTCGGATTAACTGCGACGGGGCGGCGGTTTTTTAAGGGTAAAACAACTGAAGAACAACACCTTTGTGACATCTGGGACTTCGAGTTTTCTGTGAATAAAAAAAAAAAAAAAAAAAAACCCCGCTAAATTAGGTGGAAGGAGGAGGGAGGATTGGGATCATTGTTTTAATTTTTATCTTGCATCTTTTTTTTTTTTTTTTTTTTTTTTTTTTTTTTTTTTTCAGCCTTTTCTTCTTTGAATTCAGGTTCCCGGTGACAAGCTCAATGTCAAGCGCTTGCTACACTCTCCATTAATCTATATATTTTAAATTCCCTTATCGTAAAAGCCTTTTCCCTTCAGGTGTTCGCCCTCCAGTTCTATAGGTATGTTGACAAGTTGACAAGCTCAACATACGATTCTCATACTAGTATTTTTATACCTTACATGTTCATGCGGCACTACCTATTGACAAGCCCACATGGTGACTGGCTGTTCACTGACTATTTTGGTTTATCAGGTTTCCAGTGCCCCGGGTATTGGGCCCCCAACTTCACTCTCTTGGAAATATCACCCAAATCTCTGATTTCCTTAAGTGCCAGGCCAGAGATTTGATTACCAAGAGCTGTTGCAACTTGCAGCTAACGCGTTATCCTCTCACTATTCCTGAGTGGAGTAGAGAGACAAAGTTGGGCTATCTTGTATTGCTGGCTGCTTGCTGCTTGACTTGACTTGTCTTTGCAACAATGGCGACGACATCTAGCCACAAATAAAAACAAAGAGTATCTTGCTTTCACTACCAGCTGGGTCCGGTTCACCGCCCTTCACAGTTATCTGCCATTTCCCCCCAGCTAGAGGAAGGGTCAACACAAGAACAACACCATCTGGGAGGTTCTATTCTGTTCATCACGACGCAACGCCGAGGCAGAGTGTGATCTATTCTGTTGGGACACCCCACATCTTTTCCCTCCCTGTGGTCTGAATCTAGGTAAATTTCCCATTCTGCCCTTTGCTTGGATGTGTATCCCACTGTACTGGGATAGTTGTTTCAATGAGTAGAAGCAATTGACTGTAACAGAGATCTCTTAATCGAAAGGCCGGAAAGCAGTCGGAAGCCAACCGTAACCGTAGGGGACGAACGTACATAGTTACCGGCAAACGTTGAGCGAAGGAGAACTCGCGGAGATACTACCTACCTGGGTAGATAACTTCCTCTGCCACAGCAGAGAGCACTCCGGAGGCTTCGTAAGTGTTGTTTATTTATATCTTCTTCCCAACCCCCTCCCTCCCTCCCTACTCCCTCCCTACTCCCTCTCTCCCTCCTACATGCCCCGTATCTAGCCCTTATGACAGCCTTTCTCGTGGCCATCTATCTTTCTGTGCATGGTTTTCTGCACTTTTCCTATTGCATGTCGGGTTTCTCGCCCAGATGGCGCCCCCGGATAGTCGTGAGCGGCGAAATGCCTGCTACGGGTTCGGTTTTGCCCCTGTCTTGGTTCTTTGCGTTATTTCACTTTTTGCCTGCCTTTGTGCGTTGATGGAACTGACCCGGTTATTCTGTTTAGCGATCAATTCCAGCCCATCCTTACCCGCGGGTTAAACAGTAGCCAACGGGATATCCGTGCTGCAAGCGCATATTTTCACCCTGACGCTGTCAATCAAGCGCGTGTTGCTGACTTTCCTGGAAATTCAGGGCTTTCTAGCGTTAATCTAGAGCGATTTTTTGAGGACCCGCAGCATCAATTTGGACTTAGAGAAGGTTTACCTCGTTCGAGTTCTTATTCGTCAAGCTCTGGGAAGACGATAGTGTCCCTGACACTGAAAATTTTGAA